AAGTTCATCTACATCTTCACTAAATGGTTATATAGCTGATCACTCTGGATCATCAACAAGCTCAACTGTGTAATTAATATACTGAATTTTATTAATTTTATTAATTGAACTAGTTTTAATTAAGGTGTATGAGATTTTTTATAGTAAAATAAATTTTTTAATGAAAAAAATTAAATATAATGTTTTACATGTTAATTAAACTTACATTATAGTCAATGGTATTATTTCTTAATGCTAATTTAATGTTCAATTGTTAATTTAGTAGTTGTGCAACGGGAGAAGAATTATTTTTAGTTCCAAAAGTTCCTCGTGATTCTTTTGTATCTATTTCATCTTCTAGTAGTTGTTCGTCAAATGGAATTGTTTTGCAACAAATAAAAAGTGAGTTATTTTTAAAAAATTTTCTTTACTATATTATTTAGGATGTAATATTTATTTTTTAAAAAATCTTTACTATTATTTAATTAACTTATAAAACAGCTAATGATCATGTTCATTTTAATTGATTTTTAACATTGTGAACAAATAAAATATTATCAATTTATAATCTGCAAAACTTTGTTGACATTTAATAATATTACAATTTTATTATTATTAAAAACTTTACACTTCATTAAAAGGTATTTATTCAATCAAGCATTTATAATTCTTATGAATAAATTCACATTACCAATATTATACACTAAGGTAGTTTTTTCTTGTATCCCTTTATATAACATAGATCATTGTTAAATACTAAAAAAAAAAGATGTTAACTCTAAAATGCTGTGACAATTTAATGGTTGAATTAAAATAAATATAATAGTTAATGATATCAAAATTTTTCTTTAAACTTAATCTATAAAACTTTTTATTTTATGCAATAAAACAAAATTTAATAATAATAAGTTTAGAATAACTCCAAAGTCTGTAAATTGATTAAAAAAAAAGAGAAAATAAAAAAATGCAAATAAATCAAACTTCTGNAAAAAAAGAGAAAATAAAAAAATGCAAATAAATCAAACTTCTGATACATTTACTTAAATTTTCAACTTTTTCTTATTCTTAAATTATAAGAGTTGCTAGTTAGATCTGTTTAACTCTGTTTAGCTACAACTCTTAATAAAACTTTCATTATAGATTATACTTCAATTGAATAATTTAATTTAATATTAATTTGCATAAAATATTATATACATTTTATTAAAACTTTTATTTTCTATATTAAAGTTTTTGATTAGATTTAAAAAATATTTATATACTAAATAAATAATTACACTTATTATTAAATACTACACATAAAAACAACTTTGTTATTAAACAAATAATCATTTATTTATTTTTTTATTTTTTTATAGCAAAATACAAAAAAATGCAATTTTTACCAAAAAATAATACTTCTCATCCAGTATTGATGTGTCCTCGGTGTAATTTTTATTTTCCTGGAATTAAAGATCCTCCTGATGGTCCGGAGTACAAGAATGAAGGCACTAATATTGCAAAGTAAAGTTTTTAGTTTTCAGTAATTTTCATAATAGTAATTGGCTTTTGACTTTTTTTTGGCTTGTAGATGTTTTGATCTACCTTCCAAAGTTATGACGTCAAGTAATTCAAAAAATAAAAAGAAATTAAAGAAAACTAATAAAGTTGAGTTGAAAAAAGAATTGCTGGTATGTTATTTTGTTGATACTTCTTGTACACTTGAAATAAAATAAAAAAATTTTAAAAAAATTACAGAGCACCAAAGAAAATATTGAAATAATTGATCCTAAAGAAGAACCAAGACCAGAACATCATAAACTTCCTGAAATAAATGAAAAGTTATCAGTTTCTTTTAATATTGGTTGGTAGTATACATATAAAGTGAATAGAATAATTATTATTTTTTAATATTTTAGGTTCAAAAGTATTTGCCTATTGGATTAGTGACAAATTATTTTATCCAGCAACTATAATTGAAACAATATTTCCAAAATATAAAGTAGAGTTTTTATCAGATCATGTAATTAAGTCAATAACTGAAGATGGGCTAGTGCACAGTGATGCTTTAAGACAAGGAATGCCTATTGGGATATTTGATACTGTGTCCCAAGAATACAAAGTTGGCGATATTGTCTCTATTCATGAGTAAGGTTTTACTTAATTTTACTTACAAATAATATATTATTTTGTTATTGTTTTTTGCTTATTTTATTATTAGGATAGGCATTGAAGATAAAAATTATACAGTTGATTTAGATTCCGAAGTAGTTGATGTTTCATTTGAAAAGTTAGTACTAAATATTGAGCAAGCAAAATGTATACAAGAAAAGACTTTGCATAATAATGTTTCAAATTTTAGTCCACGTAAGTAATTATCAGCATACATATTTTTAATTTTTAAAAAAATTCTAATGAAAATAAAAATAATAACATGCAAAGAGAATTAAGAGTTATTATACTCTGTACAGTTTGATTAAGCGATCACTGTACTACACTATGCCCCTAAGGAAGCTATAATTGTAAAAATTAATTTGTGAATTTTTTTCAGGTGAAAACTTTGATGGAAAAAGAATTCGTCTATCTCGATCAACTAATACCAAAAAACAAAGACAACAAATTGAATCAAAAACTGGGGAAGAAACAAATAAACGTAAAAAAAATAAACTACAAACTGATAAGAAGCGTAAGTGTTTATTTCCATTAGAAAAAGATCCTAGAGATATTCCTAGTACTAGTACTGGAATAACCGAAAGTATATATCATCTTTCCCCTCAATATTCATCACAGACAGATTCGGATTTTGAGTAAGTATAATAACAATTAAATAATAATAATAAAATATTTTCATATATTTATATATTTCATTAGCCATATAAGAGAAGAACTAACTACTGTAGATATGTTTCACTTGAAAGACTCTCAAATTGATAGTGATCATTCTTCTGTTGAAAAAAGTCCAATTAAAATTGATTGCAATGAAAGTACAAAAATTGTTAAAGTTTTTTCTAATTTAAGTTTTGTAATTAGTTATTCAAAATACAAACGACGTCCAATGCCTAATGACAGTGATCAGAGTTCAGATAATGAATTTGATTCAAGTATGCATAAAAATAATTTTTGTGTACTCTAGTAATTTAATTTGATAAAAAATTGTTAAATTTGATTTGAATGGAGTTAGTGTAAAAGAAGACAAGTCTTATATAGTTACTTTTCAGATAAAAAATGCATTATCATCCTTAAAAACTTATGCTTTACACCTAATTTCATTTGCTAAATACATGTTAATTAATGGTCATATGAAGGTAATATTGCTACCAATGTTTCTGATATGAAATTTCCTATAAAATAGACTTATAAACTAAAAATTCCAAAATCGATTTGTCTTCTTATCCATGAACTTTGTCTATTTAAGATAGAATTAATAAATTAGAGTAACAGCCTAATAATAATCTTTACACTAGTAACCTTATTAAAGTACACCAGAAAAACTCTAAAATAAAATTATGAAAATGATTAATAATATACTTAGAATTTTTTATTGCGAGTTAATACCATTTTAAAATATTTTAGTGATTTTTTACCTAAAATTTTGGTTAAGTCCGGTCTTAGAAGGGACAAGACACCCTGGATATGTCACTAATCATGTCTAGGGTCTAGAATTATATGCATTTATAAAATTTGTTAAATTTTACTAAACACACCATCATTTATTACACATTTTTATTGATTGACTTGAAGACTTATTAATGTGTTGTTACCAAAGTTATAGTTTTGAGGATTTAAAATCCCAAAACAAAAAAATATTTATACAGTACTATATTATACTATAACAAAGTTGCACAAACTTGGAACCCTCCAAAGTGGCTTAAACAAAATTTATAAGTGCATATAATTTCGGATACTAATCATGAAAAATATTTTTATTGAAACATAATATTACCTAATCAAACTTGATTTTATTTTTAATTAAAAATTTCTTTGTTATATATACATATATTTGCTATGTTTTTATCATTATACAAATTTTCAAATGATAATATTAGTGTCTTATTTAATTATATAGCTATTATTGTACTGTTAATTTAACAAAATCAAATACTAGCATTTCTTATCAAATCATTAATCTACTATACAAAAATGAAAGTATTATTATACTACTATGAATTAAAGTTTTTTTTTTTTTTAATCCTCATTAGATTTTTAAAATAGGTAATTGAGTTATTCTTCACTTAATCCTAAGTTTTAATTAATACTTACTACATATTAATAATAATTAAATTATTAAAACAATTATTTTAATGTTTTTAAAATTAAAATTAAATTTCATTTTTAGCAGTCATAAATTTTCTTCATGCTATAAAAGAACTTAATAATTTAAATAAATGTTATGCTATGACTGACTTTATAATATAATTTATAATGATAAATTTATTTTAGGTCCAGATTACTTTGCTCCATCTGTAATACATAAAAAGTCTCTAATAAAACAAATAACAAAGTTTGGTGGAGCAATTTATAGATGTTTAAATCTTGTACCTAAAAACCAATTAAAGTCATGTTTTCTCATCACTGATACACCATCACATACCTGTAATTATTTTTTATCCATAGCTCTTGGTGTTCCTGCTTACCATCATAATTATATTCAGCAAGCAATCGAACAAGTAATTAATTAATGCAATTAAGAATTGAGGTATAAATATTGTTATTATGCTTTGTATTTCAGAAAAAAATATTTACAGAAGTAATCATAGGCATTCAACCATTACCAAATGGTTGGTCTTTGGAACTAAAAAAAATGATATTTCGATCTTCTGAAACAAATCGTTCTAAAATATTTGCAGGATATATTATATACATTGCTTTAGCAGAAAAACCTAGTAGACTATTTTGGGCTGGATTGCTAAAATTTACTGGAGCCATAGTTTATACATCATGGAAAAATGGTAAACATTTTAAGTATACATTTTTAATTAGATAGATAAACATTGACTAAATATTTAATAAATGGATTTATTTATTTTTAGGAGTAAAAAAACCATTAACAAGCCACATTGTTGTTATATTGACAGATTCTCAATGCCCAGCTATACTTCAAAAATGTGATTTCCCAAAACTCTCAATTACTTGGGTTATACAAAGTTTAATTTGTGAGTCAGTCAGACCTATTGATGGACATGAACATTACATTGAAATTTCAGATACAGAATAATAATTTGACAAATAAATTCTTACAATTATATTTTATATAGAATTTTTAGTATTATTAAACTTAAAAACCCTTTATAAATTTATTTTTAATGAATTTTGAATTATTGCTACATGTACCTTTTTTATTTATTGTTAATTTCATTTAATTTTAGTGAATTTATTTATGGTAGGCAATAAAGTCTATGTTAATTTTTTAACTAATGTACTATAATTACCTCAATTATTTAATATGGATTGTTGTAAAACAATATAACTACTTTTTTAACTGGAAACAATGATTTCCCATGATTAAAATTTAACAAGTGTAAATTATTTCTCATTTCTAATACTTTTTTTACTTGTTTTTATTTTATTTATGTATTTAATATAAAAATAATTGTATACTATTGTATTTTCGAACTAATTGTATTTACAGGAGTTATGGTGATCAGTTATAAATATTAAACTATAAATTAAAAGTTAAGTTTTATGTTAGTTTATGTTTTCTTGTTACTAGTTTTATATTGTATATATGTTAATAAATTTTATTCATTTCATATTACACACATTTTGGATAGTTTTCTTCTTATAATTATAAACAACGATTAAAATAAATATAAAATGTTTGAATTATCTTTGTTTTAATCGTAGACACAGTGGTTGTATATAACGAGAGGAGAAAAATGGATTGAACCCCTTATCCATGTCTTTTTCAAATATGATAAAAGAATTACCGCGCAATAAACTCGATTATTATCACAAAAATTTACTAACATTTTTAAAAAGACATAAATTCTATTTATAATATTTACATTATTTTAAAGTATTGAGAAACACATATTAATTATTAATATTATTATTTACGTTTCCATTCGAGTTTAACGACCTCTTTAGAAGCTATTGCTCACGTCGGAGAGGTCAGGAAAACACATACAGCCCAGACTAGCGCAACGAAATCAAGCCTTGGTACCTTCACACCAATTCACGAAGTGTTACTGNAATCAAGCCTTAATACCTTCGCACCAAATCACGAAATACTGATCAGTCAGTAATACCTAGTTTGAGTTAGGTATGTTGCCAATCTTATGTGTGTAAATAGTTTAAAATTTTTGCTTATAAATAATAAAATTGTAATTTTGTATTTTTTTTTTTATAAAAAAATAATATGAATGTTTTTTTATAATTTAGATTTCCCAAAATACGCCTATGGGTTAATAATGGGCTCCACAACTCCATTATTCAATGATTATTTTTAAAATTTTTTTTCGCCACACTTAAAAGTTATTTATAGGCACCATTATCTTTTCAGGCCTCTATTAAGTATAGTAGTGTAATGGTCATATATGGGTAGTTGATTGTGAAAAATATTAACAATTCTTAAAAAACATATGTATTTTTACACATATTTTTTATTTCATACCTTCCTAAGACTTAAGCTTATAAAGGTTTCTTCACTTGTGCCTATTTTTATTATAAAAAATTACCTATGACCCCTATTCAAAAATTTTATCACGCTATAGAATAAATGTGTCATTGAGAGATGCTCATTATGACTTGTCCGGAAGTTTTAGTCAATATTATAACTCCAACTATAATAACATTTTCAGTAAAAATAATCGTACTGTTATCAAACAATCTTTTGTTCGACGACAGATAAGGGGTTTGGTCTGTAAAGAACATATAAATTTAAATCAAACTTAACTAATGTTAATTAACTTTTTGAAAACAAATAACATTAAATAAATTCTAAGGTAAAAGTTAATAAATCATTTTAAACGTTCTAATAAATCAAAAAAATGGATAATAATAAACTAACACAATTAAGCATTTATAGTTAAATAAATTTTAGTAATTATTATTTGACTAATAAACTTCAATACTTAAATATGTTCAAAATTTAAAAGTTTAATAACGTAGCGTACATTTTATTTATAAATAAGTATTTCTGTGTTTAAATTATCATTTCATAAATAGAGTGCGTATTTTGATGTAAATGCAAATTTATAATTGTCAGCTTTTTAATCTAGGAAAAGTTAACTGCTATTCATAAAATTAAGTTATTTCTAATGTATTTTTTGTAAATATTACACAGGTATATTTACCTATACAATATGAAATTCTAGACAAATATTAATCTTTTGTAAAAATTAAAAATTTTGTTATAAATAAGATAAAAGATAAAATTACAACTATAACATAATCCGAATAGAATAAAAATACTTTAAAGTACCCTGTCTTTATTTTTTTGAAATGTTGAAAGTATTTAATACATACATGCATGTATATACTATAATTGTTGACAATACTTTTGTGATTAACGTATGACTAGAAGATAAATTCAATGATATTGTATTTGCATGATCAAGTTAGATCAATTTTATTACACCATAACATAATAATTATGTTATTATTTAACAATTATTNACATAATAATTATGTTATGATTTAACAATTATTGTGGTTTACTGATTACTGTTGTTCTATACTTAAATATTTAGCAGTCAATTGGGATTTATTACAATAGTTCTAAAAATAGATCGAATCAGGGAATTTTATTTGGATAAATGGATAATGAATGCTCCTAACGCAATTGAATATTATAACACAATTTGTGATCGTCACGTATCACGTATAAACCATTGGCCGTTATTATCGCTTATCTTACTTAAGACACATTAGCATTCTTTGAATATAGAAGAAACTTTTTACTTTTCAAGAGTCTTCACTTCAATTCACTCACTATCAGACAACCATAACGGAACAATATCCGACGTTAGCCGTTTTCTGATCTGTATTTCTTAACGGCAATATTGCCTATTTGCGTTTGATTACTCTTCAACACTTTCGAAGACAACATGGGCAATCCCCGTAAGTATTCATTTTGATACATTTTATTATTTTAGTGATCATACATACATTCCTCCCACCTTTTGTTTTTGTTGATGGCCTCCGTAACCGCTATTAAAAGTTTACCTCCACCACCACTACTTTGCTTTTGTTGGTGTCGTCCATGTTTGTTAGACCTTTCTTAGTAAATAGCTGTTGGATAAACCGTATCCTGAATTTATTCCATCGAACAATACCGACCGGATCGAATGCAAGTTAGCGGCGTGCGCCCCGACGACTTTTTTTAAACGCGCTTAGTGTAGTCTTTATTTTTTTGTCTTTTTATGGGCATTTAACCGTTAAACCATCAGTCATCGGTAGGTTATAGATATTTTATTATTAAATAATTTTTTTTTTTATATAAATTATTATTGTTATTTAAAAGAAAAAGTCCTTTTGATCATTTTATTTTAGTTTAAACATTATTTTATTCAAACTAATTTTTCGTTCTTTAAAATTTTTGTGAAGCATTTAAAAGGAAAATAACGTTTATGATTAATGATTTCCCTTTATTTGATATAGAATTGCTAATTTTATTATAAATAATTTAAAAAATTAGCTGCTTTGAGACTAAAGTGAATGATTTTTTAATTGTTTTGTTTATTTAATTTCTTCCATGATTTAATTAAATATTAGTTAAANTATTTAATTTCTTCCATGATTTAATTAAATATTAGTTAAATAAATTTAGTAGGAAATTCTCATCTATTTGAATATTTTAATGCTATTTCTCGATATAACTAATTTTCTAATTTAATCATATATATTTTTTTCTTTTATTATACCAATTGGGAAGCACCGAATTTATGAATATATTTTTTGTTTTTAATTAAAGGTTTTTAAAAATATCTTCATTTATAAAATTTTGTTTAAATTATCATAAATTTACATATAATTGTTAAGAAACAACTTAATTATAAAATAATNATAAAATTTTGTTTAAATTATCATAAATTTACATATAACTGTTAAGAAACAACTTAATTATAAAATAATAAAAGTATAAAAAATAATTTATTTTAACAATCGATTATGGTGATAATTTTTTTTTAATTGAATTTTTAAAAAAAAATGTTATAAATTTTAACATACATTAATAATGATGAATTTTTTTTTTAAAACAAAAAGTTATTTTCATATACCTAGGAAAACCCCTTAACTTATCAGCTCAATATTTATATAATTAGGTTTTGTTTATCAAGCATTTATTAATTGGCTAAAAATTGACTAAAATATTAAGATTTTAAATATTTTAGTGCTATTTTATTTTACAATTTCAATTTTTGTACACAGTTGTTACAGTTAAAAAATTTAAATAGAAATAGAAAAACACTTTTAAAATGTATAATCTTATATAGAGTTAAATTACTACTTAAATGTGAGACTGTGAATTGCTGCAATTATTTTGACTAAATTTATACATTAGTTTTATTTATTTTGATATCTTGATATTTATCTTGCATATATCTTGTTTAAAATAAAAACATTTTTTTTTTTAATTTTCTTGGAAATGGTTGCTCAAATTAGTTTAATTTAAGTGCAATAAAAAGCTGTCTAAATATGTGTGACTTGGTTACAGAAAAAAAAGAAATGTCTTTTTTTGCTGTGTTTTTATATGAAACTAATAAGTTTTTTTTCTCTTTAAAATTTTCATGATAATATTGTATAGTNTGTGTTTTTATATGAAACTAATAAGTTTTTTTTTCTTTAAAATTTTGTATGGTCAGGTTATGCAGAAGCCCTTTGTATAAATAGTTTTAATGTTTTAATAAAATCAAACAAATTTCACATTACAATTTTTTTTTTATATTATTGGAAAGGACTAACCTTAATTTTTATCTAATTAACAATGCAAGATTTTATTTATTTATATTCATGTTTTCTCTAGTAAATATAAATAAATAAAATTCAAATACTAATTATTTGTTGTTCTTTAAAAGAAGCCTAATTGTTTGTGTCTTAA